CGTGATATAGATCGGTGTGTGCTGATTTAAAATTCATATATAGACCACATGTACCTTTATGATAAAGGTACATGTACCTTTATAAAGCATTCTTTAACAAAATGTTTATTAATCTTTTCCTAATAAAAACTCGAATATTCGAGAAATCAATAAATACTTTATTTTCCAAAGTTAAAGGTAATGTTACAATTGTTAAACACGGGATTAGCAACCCTTTCGTTTTTTATTACACACCACTTTAAACTGTTTAAACCAAACAAACTTGCTCAACTAAAATGCTAAAGACGCTTCATTCATCTCCGCCAGCGATGTAGTTAATGTCTGGTTTGGGCCAATATCATCAGTTTCATGACCACCATCGTCGATCTTCACTTCTTTAACCTTTCTAGCAGCTCTCCAGGAATCCTTTCTAGCAGCTCTCCAGGAATCAGAAATCGTCAAAGCCCACTTTGTCGCGTATCTTGTACTTGGCGGCATCGATCTTTCGAGCAACGTTTGCTCCTCTTCAGCAGTTCGAGCGCTTGGAAACCGACTCATTAACAAAACAAGTCAAATATGTTCAAATTTCCATTTGAAAACTCCGTTTAACGACTTGTATGACTTGATAATTAATCCAGTCATTAATTTGCTTGCTGATCAATGAAGGGAAGAATCGTAAAACAATAGAACTATTGTAGTTAGCATTTCTTATTATTTCATTGGGACCCAAAACAAAAGGTGAATTTTAGAAGTCATTTATTAACCTCGTGATTGGGATTTATCGGTGCCTATAGCCGCTCGCCTTCGGCTCGCGTCTGTATATATATATTTATATATATATATATGTATATATATATATATATATATATATATATATATATATATATATATATATATATATATATATATATATATATATATATATATATAATATATATATATAAGATAACCATATTATTAGCTGTAATGATTTCAATTTTGTAATAAATCTACTCGAACTAACACCTAATGATGAAGTTAATAACATTAAATGTTCAGTAACAGATTTAATATTTATACTAACACTAAAATAATAGATAAATCCAATCACTGGTCGTTGATACTTTATCAAGAGTCTATTGCTATTAATATAATGAAACCGTCCCTAAACCATGGAACTTAATGCCTCTAAAGATCTATTAATATTTAACTAATCGCATCTTGTTACTTCACTATATATATTACTTGTACATATGTAATATCATCACCATTCATTTCCTGATGATGACTATAGTTTAGTCGAAACGTCGAAATAAATTTTCAAAATGCTTTCAATTTTCGGAGTATCTATTGTTTTGTATCTTAACACTGGTTGTGCTTTGCGATTTTTCCTGCCGAAACAACAAGCTGTTTGAAAATAACAAGTGCGTTGTATCATTTTGTGATAGTTGTAGATGATCGAATGCCTTTCGCAGACGAATATTCCAAAGTGTGACGCGTGAGAAGTGTTTATTCTCTCAGCTGCGTTGTTGACGTTCGCTTCACTGCCTTCAGGTTACAAAAGCCGTATCTCATGATCTATGATTTGCGATTTTTCCTGACAAAACAACTAACGTTTTTAAGACTTAGTTTGTTTTATACAATTTACTATAGTGTACTAATGAATGTCTTTCGGAAATTAGGAAACTACAGTAGTGACACGTGTATTTTGGGATCAACACCGCGAAATATAAGTTTGTCGACAGGTCAAGACAAACATGGCGCAGTAAGAATTCACGCGTACAGGGGCGTAGGAAGCTTAGGAAAGTTGGGGGGGGCCAGGCTTTGAGGGGCACTTTCAAAAAAAAAAGGGCATCTCAAAAAAATTTTTTGGCGACCTCCCCCCCCTCCCCTCGTCGCCAAAAAAATTTCGGTCAGTGTACCATTTTAGGGGTAAAAAAATTTTCCGGACATACCATATTTTTCCTTAAATACTAAAAATTTTTTCCGGAAAAACAAATATATGATATTTTTATCGGAAACTAAAACATTTTTCGGGAAAAAACCTACATTACAGTTTTCAAAAGTTTCGTTTGGACAAAAACTGCGAATTTTATTTTCAGGCACAAAAAGGGCACTTTGCTCCTGTGAAAAGGGCACTTGCCAAAACTTGGGGGGGGCATGGCCCCCCTGGCCCCCCCGGTTCCTTCGCCCCTGGTCCAAGCCAAAATTATATCGCATTTGAAGTTTCAAACTGAGTTAAAAATAGTGGAAGAAAAGCCGTAATTATACTTATTGTTACAATCCATTTAATAAAATGCAACATTTTTTTGTTCTAATGAAAAAATCAGTTATTTTTCATGAGACTGACGATTTGTTATTCCATCTCAATTTTTTTTATCTCCAATCGCAATAACGTAAAGTAGTATTACCCGCGAACCAATGAGTCAAATTTAAGAAACAACCCATTGTTAGAAAGCTGAATGGCTACGCTTTAAAATGAATGTAAACTTTAACGTTTTGGTCTATTATTAGCCTGCGAACAGGCTCTCAAGCTGAATTGAGAGCCTGCATCGATGACTAATGAATTTGAATATCTGCCCCGTAACGTTCGTTTTTCCAAATATGGAATGTCTATCCTTATATGGTGTTGTTTACAACTTTCGTGCAAACTAAATTTAGACCGTGTAAACTAAATTTAGACCGTAAAGTTTATACTGTTTTTCGAAATATAAGATATTCAAGCAAAAGTTTAAATGTTTTAAATACTGTTTTCTCAAAACAGAACATTTCGTGCTTTGAGATAAGATAGCCAAGACCAATTTGATCAGATGATGCGTTTTTTATGCATAGGGCTTCAATTTGACATATATAGAGCTCAGCGGATACATATAAATTACTGATAAATTATAGCATCTGACCAATGAGAATTTCGCGTCACGATTTGAGACGCAGATATTCAAATTCATTAGTCATTCATCAGTCAGTTTGTTTAGTAATTTACATTTCAGTCGAGGATTGCGCTTTTTTTGATACACCCTGTATATATATATATATATATATATATATATATATATATATATATATATATATATAATAATAATATTAATAATATAATAATAATAATAATAATAATAATAATATAATAATAATAATAATAATATATATATAATAATATTTTAAATAATAA